ACACGCAAATGGGCTACTACTCCAACAAGAATGTTTTTTTTTTTTTAACGAATGAAATTATGCATAGATGGTATGCTTTGTTTGATTGGTTCAACTAGTGTTATCACCACAACTGAACTGCTCCAGAATTTCTTTAAAGACATAACCATTTGAGAGCGATTGTGTGGTCAGCTGATGTTAAAGCTCAAGTCAACAATATGCTTTGGGTGAATACAAGATGTCTGATTGTATCTTATGTCTTACTCAAGGATATTCTTGTGTGGCGTCCTACATGAAGGAGTCTGTGTGCTGCAAACTGATGGTCTCTTTGTTTTCACTGGCCTGGAATCAGCTTGCATGGCTCCTCTGCTGGTTAAGGTTATTGCAGGCAGGGCGGGATGCCTGATCCTGAGCCAGCAGTGGGTGGCTTCAAATCCACAGAATGACCCGGTGGCGTGTAGTGAGCTGTGGATTAGCGTCAACAAATCAAAATGGGATTGGCAGGTGGCTCCCACTCTTTCAAGCCTTTAAGATGGACTTTACTCCCTGTCTCACCTCAGAGAGGAAGAAGGCCCAGAAATGTGTTAATCCTACTTGAAAGAGGGACAGTCTTTAGAAAGCCATGAAGAGCAAGCTTGTACAGGCCGCCAAAATCAGTTGGCGACTGATTTACTTAAAAAAGTATAGTTTCATTGAATGTCGTGCTCAGTTCAACAGCTATATTTACTCTTTCTTTCTCCTCGACTGAATGCATTTCCCTCTCAGCACACTGTGGCCGGACCCCATCTGTAATGAAAAGAGGAGGCCAGGCTTTAATGAAATGCTCCGGTGACAGGGTAATTAAGTCCAGACACAAAGGGCTCAGCAGGAAGGAGTTTAATAGAGGAGGAGTTGGTATTCTCCTGGGGGAAGTTTGGCTTAGCAGAACCCTTTTGGACTGCAGGAGGTTCACTGGCCCGCAGCCTCTTAGCACTGCGGGCACTGGGTACACACACTCAGCTATTACTCATGCGTTTCTGTCTGCTCAACTTATCACATTAAATAGCTAAAAATAGGGCTTCCTTTTCACTTAAAAAACCTCTTAGATACATTTCCCACAGGACAAAGAACACTAACATCTCGATTGGTCTTCAGTGAGAAAGGTTACAATCTGCATTCATTCCCCGGAAAAATGATTCTCCAGTCATACTATCCATTTTCAACCCTTTTTGGTGCAATGCTAGAAACTATTCTGTTATAGGTAAAAGTTGTTATGAGACATGGGGAGTTTTTTAAACCTCCTGGCTTTGAGCCACTTGTAAGGTACTCAAACCAGTGCCTTACCAGTGGTTCAAAGCTACTATAGCACATGCCTTAATTGTGTTAACTTCCAGAGAATTAGGGATGCTCCGATCGGCCGCCGATCGTTATCGGCCGATATTCACTCTTAATAGTGTGATCGGTGCTCTCTATAAAGGCCGATCAGGAGAGCCGATCAGATGACGTAAAATACATGAGACTTTTCTCTGTGCGCGGCAAAAGAAGCTCGCCAAAATGGCTTCACCTATCTGGCAGTTTTTAAGGTGTCCGAAAAAGACAATAAAATAGTGGTATGCAACGTGTGTGAAGCAGAAATCCTGCAGCTCCACCCGCTGTGACGGAGCGGTGAGCGGAGCAAAACACACACTTCAAGTTAGAACATCACACTTAGCTATTTTATCTACCTCTGGAACAAGCTAAACTAGTTATACGTTTATTCTTCACTGTCGGGTCACTCATTACTGGATCAGTGAGCTGCATGAGATACTGACGGGCTGTCAGGAGAGAGAGAGAGGGGGAGAGGGAGAGAGGAAAAGAGAGGCTCAGTTTCTCCCATGTTATTATCCAAAGTTAATGTAAACTTGAATAATGTACTTCATTTGAATGTAATAATGATGTTGTTTGTGCATTTATTGAAAAATGAATCTGAACTTTTCGATCCGTTACGATTATAAACTGAAGCAATATAAAACTGAGCCCCATTAACTGAGTTTTAAACATCAGCATATATTACCGGTCATAGTCCGGTAATTACCGGCTAACGGAAACTCTGCTACACAATTCACAATACAACACTTTAAATGGAAGATCCCCATAGCCCCCACCCGCCCTATGATCGGTATCGGCCGATTCTGATTCTGGCGATCGGCCCCAAAAACCCTGATCGGAGCATCCCTACAGTGAATAGTGAATAGTGAATAAATCATTACTTTCTCTGAGGACTTAAAAAACAAATCAGGCAGACCCCTTGAGGTTCCTAAAACTGCACATGGCCCACTTGTTTTTAGTTTTTTGACCCCTGTTCTCTCCGTCTTCATTCAACTGACACAATTGGAAATCAAAAGACGTCACAGCATGAATCATCTACCTTTTTAATTCATTATATAATATGTTCTCGTTTATTTTTTTGCTCTTATGCATGGTTGCCCGGAATGCCGCAGGGCAGGCGGCATGCGTGCGCCACGTGCTGTGTGTTGTGATGACGGAGCGTCGTGGAGGTGGATGCACTCAACTGTCTGGAATAGCGCTGATCCTCTTAAATGATTACTAGCTACGACCAGAGAGCGAGAGAGAGAAGTGACCTGCGTGGGTAACATGCGGACAGATGTACCACCCCCACCCGCAACAAAACACACACACACAGCATCTATGTTTAGTTGGGGCTACAGGGACACTCGTACTAGATCCCTTTCCTTTAATAGGCTCCAAGTCCATTATTCCGCTCATTTCTACCCAGACAAAGGCAATTCCTTTTATTTATTCAGCACCTTTTCAAGGCAGGAAGTGGATGGTGTGTTGAGCACTATAAGGAGAAAAATAGGCCTTTTAATAAGGAAAGTTAGCTCAACTAGTTGTGATGGTGTGTGTTTATATAAAGACATCCCTCAAATGTTCAGTTAAAGATTTATTTGGAAAGACATTTTGTAATTTTCACCATCAACTTTTAATTTTCTGTTTGTGAATACAACGTATCAAAATTATATTTCCAGTGGAAATACAGTAGCAAGAATTAGTATCGAATTTGATTATTACACTGAATAATGCGTGAAATCTGCAGTCTCTATTATGCAGCAATGCTTTTATAAATGTAACATCTGTAGGTGCCATCTGAGGTTAATGCTTAAAAAGTGGGTAAATCCATGCAGTCTGGAGATGGCTTCCTAAGTGGCGGAAACCCGCAACAAAGCTTTTATTTCACTCAAAACGAGAATTACTGGTTTGTCAACCCAAACCTGACCTGGGTCTTTAGGGTCATAGATTCCTATTCCTCAGTTAACCATAATGAGGCTTTACAAACATAGCAATGGCTCAAATGTGCACCTGAACAAAAGCTTATGTGTGGTGAATGGCGAATTAGGGTTGTTAGAAAGTTGAAACTTCCCACTATGTTCTATTCATCGAAACACCCAAAAATACCATTGTTGATACAAAGTACAGCTTCACCATGAGCTTGACGATGTAAGTTGATCCCCAATGAAACTCAGCTGCGTAGTCGAACCCAAAGACTTAACTTATTCGCAAAAACGGTCAAGTCTTCTGATTTAACATCTTGCTTGGAGCAGCAGCGAGGTGACGGAGGAAACGGCACATTTCAGATGGATGGCAGAAGAGTGGCAGCATTGTCGAGTGTTTTTTACCCAGGCGACCGTTGGGGAATGTGCGTGGTAGTGCTCGGTGTCACTGTGTCGAGCCCTGCCCTTTCAGCATGCCACGCCTAAGTTTACCACCATTATAAAACATGTTTTGTCCCTGCCTCCCCTTTTTGGCTCGGTTCTCTCGCCCTCCTCTGTGCTTGACATTTGACTGTGTGTGGGGGCCTTTGGTCCCTAGAGGGAATCTGCTGGGCCCCAGATGCACACAACTGGAGTCCACAGCCAAAGATTTGCCCTTTGTCCTTTACATTGTTGAGTGTAAGGCTTTTTGCACGCCTAAATGCTGAGAATCAGAGCAATCCCAGACCGCTACCCTTTTTCCGAAATCCTTAATGTCATCGTTCCATCACTGTTTCTAATTCTTCCTTTTTTGTTGCCTTGAGGAAATTGCTTTAATCTATCACAATGACATTTCCATTCATTTTCCTTCACAAGTCAGTAGGTATTCAAATGAGTTTCATATGCAATGTATCCTAAAAACTGTATGATTGGATTTTTCAGAGCAAGATGAATAACTTGGAACATGTTGAGCTATCTTCAAAGATATTTGAAGTGAAGAATTAAGGCTTTTTTTTAGGGATTCACTTTTTTTCATGTCTCTCATTGTGCATCAGGACCATTGATATTTAACAGGATGTTCACAGAATGTTATCAGTCTGACTGCGCAGCATTAGAGCAGATGCGGAAAACCAACATCTGTCGATAGCATGACGTCATGTGTTTTGTTCTTCTTTGCTTCCTGAGAGTTTCCTCTCTCTAAGGCAACTTGTTGAAACTCTTTCCACATGGCGTCATCTCTTGGATTTGCTGGATTTAGCAAAAAACACAATCAGGATGACACTTGTGATGGTGATGACATTGCTAAAAAAAGTCATACCCACAGAGCGTGGCAAAGAGACAGGGTTCAAGACGTGTTTCCAGATGGGTGGGTGGGTGACAGTTTGCCCCAACTGACAATGGCGCAGGGATCATGGAGCTTTTCATAAAACATTGGAAGGTGTAATTAAAATTGGATTAATCGCTCAGACTTTTAATCTTTCTTGATATGAACAACCCTAAAAAAAGACAGAAAGGGAATCTTATTTTGCTTCCCACACCAAACGTACTACTGAGGTGGAAGATGAAAAGGAAGTGGAGGTAACTTCCCCCCCTTTTCTCATGTGTGTTGGAGAGGATGGCAAGCTAACAAAACAATGGAGGCTTTGTGAGAGGGTCCCGCCGTGACAGGATTGTTAGGGGAAGCAGGGGGGCCGGCTAGGGCTTAGTGAAGCGAAGCCACTTCATTAGTCAGGGCTCTCCTTGTTGCACCTCCTCCTCCTCTCATCCATCCTCCCTCCCTGTCAGTCCCTCGCCGCCTTCCCTCCCCTGCTCACTCGTAGAGCCTCTCTCTGGCAGGACAGTACGCAGCGTAGCGCAGGGTTTTGACTCCGCATTGACGAGGATGTGCTTTTGAGGCTGATCGCAGTTGTTCGGCACAGTTTCCTCGCACGGTACCACACGCTTTCAACTCTGAGGTAAGTTGTCTTGTGTTGTCATCCTTCCCATCTCGTCCTTGACCGCTGACTTGCATCTTCTCTGTCCTGAGCTGCAGTTTTGGGTGTCGGATGACGGCACACAGCATTCTCAGTCAGGCCTCTAATGAACTACTGGAGCTTTAAGTGGCTTTAAAGGCATATCTGGATGATAATTCAGTTTTTGTTGCCTCATCTCTATATGTATGATGACATCAGTGGAAATCTCCATGCTTCTGGAAGTTTCACAAAGCCCTTCTATAGTGCAGTGTCAGGTTTATTTGAGTTGATATTTGTGCGGTGCAGGGCATTGGGGGGAGGGTGCTGGTATGAGACTATGGCCTCAGCTGTGTTGACCAAATTATCAATGTTATTAGGATCTACTTGCTTGTGATTGCTTTCTCCCCCCACCCACTGCCTCCCTTTGTCAAACACACACCCTCTGGGACGCTTGAGCGCTGGGGTAATCCTTCACATCCTGTGTGGGAAAGGGCAGAGAGGAGCACTCGGAGTAACCTCATCACTTCCTCGTGAGAAAGTCTGATCTACTAAAACTCACTGTGTGTCCAGAAAACACAACAACATCCTGGCCGGTTTAAACCCAGTGGTCCGTTAGCAGCTTATTTCCTGTTCAACTGTCCCATTTCATTACTTCTCAACTTTCCCAAATGATTCACCAGGACACTTGGCTAAATGTCTTAATAATTTCTTGTGAATTTATGATGCATTCATAAGAAATTGGTGGACTTTTTGCCAAAGAAGCATCAAAGGTGCATGTGTACTTTAGTTGGGTAGAGGCATAACTGTACAATTGGTATAAAATATTTAAGTTATAATCTGTGTATGTCCTGAGTGAAGCTTAAGTCATTGGTTGGGGGATGCAGGTCATTCACAGGGCTTCTCATAGCTCCTTCTTGACCAGGAACCAGAAGATGTCTGTGTAGTGCTAAATGCTAAATATATCAAAAGACGTAAAGAATCTTAGCTGCTAAACTTCATCTTCATCTTCATTTAATTAAGTGGAACAACCAATGATAACTAATCAAAAATGTTAACTGAACATGTTGTATGAGTCGATACAAATAGTATGGTAGTGAACCAACATGGGAAATAAATAACATTTATATTATTATGGATTAGGACAATGTTCTTTACTGCACTCCATGAATTGATGATGTGGTTTTCTTTTCTAGTTTGACATTTTAAGAAATGTGCTAATTGGTTGTCCTTACTTAGACATGAAGTATGGTTATAGAACTTGGGATGCTTAGCTTAGTTTAGCTTAAAGGTCCCCTATTATACTGTTTTTCATCAATAAATGATAGGTCTCAGATATTTACAAAACATGTCTCTGAAGTGTTTGGCTCGAAATACCAAACAGATCATTGCAGCATCCCATAATCCCCTCTGTTTCAGCCCTGTTTCAAAAGTGCTGATTCTGTGTCTTTTACTTTAGATGAAAATAAGGAGCCACTCCCCACGCCCCTCTGAGAGATATTTGGTTAAAATAAACACAATGGTGCTCTAGGAGGAGATTCAGGTGACAAGGGTTACCTTGGATGGTTATTGGCTAATGGTTACACAAGCCAAAAAATCGTTATGACATCATAAAGTGGCCAAAATCTGATCAGCTCATTTTCAGACAGGTTTTTATAGAAATGGATCTGGATCAGGACAAAAAGTGAGAGAATCTTTTTCCTGAAACTTTCAGAATCTATTTACACAGAGGGGACACATGTTTATGTATAAAAGACATGAAAAAGTGGATTTTGCATAATAGGTGACCTTTAAATGTTGTTTACCGTCTCAAAATATGTGTACCAGCTCGATCACCTGACTTTCCTTATTCACGCTCTGAACTGTAATGTGACGAGGAACATCTGGATTTCATTTCTTTCTCTTTGTCTTCTCTCTTCACAGAATGAAGAAGTGAATCCTCTGGGATCGCAGTCATGGCTGTTCAGGTAAGCTCATCAGCATCTACATTGGACCAGGTGTACTTTGATTTAATGGCCAGAGCAGAGAGTAGTCCTTCAAGCTATCATAGGTAGTGTTACAGTTTGGAACAGTCCCATGGCTCACCAATCTGTGGGCCAGTGGCGGACTGGCCATCGGGACGTTCGGGACGAATCCTGATGGGCCGGTACCGAAGTGGGCCGGACCGACGGTGTGGGCCGGTCGGATAAGTCACTAGCACCCCCCCCACCCCCCCGTTGACAATTTACTAGTGGTACAGAAGTGGGCCGGTCGAGATGCCCGGGCTGATTTTTAGTCCCAGTCCGCCCCTGCTGTGGGCCATGTAGTGTAACAAGCCCTCAGACTGGAGGTATTCGGATAAAAAAAAGTGCAGACATCTGTCTCCCACTCAGCAGCTGTGGTGAGCCCGCCTGTGTTTCGGCATGCCGTCTTCTTGTTGTTGTGCATGTCTGACGTTCCACTGGAACTCGACCCAGAGGAGTTTCTCCGAACAGCTTTTAAGGGGAATGGGTGGAATGAACCACTTTTTCCCCTTTCCCTCCCAGCAACGAGATGTCATCCGTCCCAAAACCCAGAACAACAAACGTATCGTGTTACAGATTGTCCCATGGCAATGAAGGGCTGTTTTCTCTCATCTGGTTAGGAAAGTCCTTGCCCTCCCCACCCGTCTTGGACTGTGGATATGTGAAATATGTATCCCTGTGCTGTGCATAGAACATGTGGCGAGACACGATGTTTGTCTGTCCCACAAGACATCGACATTAGTTTATAATGTGGTCCATTCTCCTGTCTGCCTATTATATTATTCAAATATCATTTATTTTGTGTAAAACGCAGAGAAGAGTAGTTTAGAGCTGCAAATATTAACTGCTTAGCTGCTAGCTATTAAATTAATCACCAACTACTTTGCTAATCAAATAATTGGGTTTGAGAATAATAATACAAAAGAAATATAATAGTTTTGTTCATTTATGACAGTAAAATAAATATCCTTGAGATTTGAATACGCCATCTTAGGCACTTATCGACATTTCTTACAATTACTGATATTTTAAAGACTAAATCAATAATTGAGAATTTAATGGAAAATGCAGCCGTAGTGCAAACATGATGACCCTTTAAAGACACGTCCTGGTTAATTAAAGCAACAGTAGTACATTTTGTAATTGGCATGGTGTGTTTGTATAAAAGAAAACGGTAAAAAGTATATGATATTGGTACAATTTGAATGATATTGGTACAACGTGTCTGATATTGGTACATTGTGTCTATTGGTACAGCTTGAATGATATTGGTATAGCGTGTATGATATTGATACAACGTGTCTGATATTGGTACAGCGTGTATGATATATCTCCCTGTGAGTATTGATCCTACTGTATGAGGCGCTGGTGATGCTGCAGTGTCTCTCGGAGCTTCACTGCTCATGTAGAGCACAGTCACATTGAATAACTGCTCACACTCACTGCGCTGCTCACCCATGCTGAACATCTACGCACTCGTGGAACTATAAGTAGCATTTGTGCACAACTATTAATGCAACAGTAAAACACATTTTAAAATATATTGTCTGGTAGGCTTGAATGTTTTACTAACATCACAAGTCTATACTGATGGCTTCACAAAGGTCAACAGAGTTTACATGATGAGGCTAGTGATTCTAGCACAGGTTTGACATGTTTTTTTTAAAGTTGCTACATCCCGTTTTCTTTTTTACCTTTCTTCCACTTTATTGTTTCGGGGAGTTTTAGTGGTCCTTAGTATAAGTGGCTCAGGTTAAGAGCATCAGATAAACTCTTAAAGCGCAAATAGTAACATACAGGCCAGGATTACAACACACATTCCAGCGCTTAATGAGGACAGACGTGTGATTTTAGTTTAATTGTCCAAATGCTCTCGGTGAGCGTGTATATGCACTCAGCTGGCAGAGAGAGGCTGGATTATCTCATTTAAAACTTAAACACTACCCTGCCTTATTTTCTAATTAGCTCGATGAGGAGAAAGGCACATATGTTGTTGCAAACCTGCAGGGGGTTGTTGCCCTTCTGAACCAGGTTATGTAACGTGTGTGTGTGTATGTGTGTGTGTGTGTTGGCTCATCTCTTTTTTAAGTGAGGTAACCTTTTCACTTTCCAACATCAGGTGTTTTAGCTTTATGTATATTATGTGCATATATTCCCCCCCTCACATCTTTGCTCCCACCTCTGGGTTAAAATGTCTCTCTGATGGGGACGAGTGTGGAGGAATTTAACCTTTCCCAGAGCATTGAAGCATTTGTTTGCATTGAGATAACATTTCAGCAAACAATCAGATTACACATTAATTTATTAAATTAGCTAACTGAATCAGAGTTGCCTGAAGTCAATGTTAAAGGAGCAACCTTTGAAAACAGTTATATAATGTATTTTTTACAAAGTTTAATAGAATAAACCTGATGACGTCGTCCGATTATATTCACATTTTTTAATGGGAAGACATGCGTTATTAACTAAGGTTTGGTCAGATTTGATAAACGTGTTTTTTTTTGTTGCATTATGGGAATGATAGGATCCAGTGTTTAAGAGCTTGATCCACATACTAATAGGGACCTACAGTCTTGATCTCTGTTGCCTTGACTTAGATCTTTTAGTTTTCTCGTTGAGAATTCCCACATTTTCTGAGCCTGCATTAAAGAGCTGCTCTGTCTGTTGTCAGTAAGATGGCTGAAATAAGGTTTCGGGTAAATGCAGCACAAGAGATCTTTTTGTTCTGCAACATAAATTACGTCAGTAAATACCCCACAGCTTTATTTTGAAGCTTTCCGTGTCTTGAGAAATGTGTTTTTCTGCAATAATACAAATCCCAATGGCTATTGTGGGGGTAACGAGGGCGATGCTAACTGTGTTACTAAATGACTGCAGTCGTCCTTTGTTTTCACCGTTTGCATTTCATTAATATGAAAGGCTCAATTCTTTTAAATATTTATTAATAGAAATCCCCTCATTAAGCACATTTTAAGTGTATTGGCCACATTTTAAACAGTCAAATGAATTCAAGAGGACATATGATGCTCCTTTTCAGGTTCATATTTCTATTTAGTGCCACTACTCTAACATGTCTCCATGCTTTAATGTTCAAAAAGCTCTTTATAATAATAATAATAATAATAATAATAATAAATGGAATTTATAAAGCGCCTTTCACGGGACCCAAGGTCGCTGTACATGGTGGACAGACAAAACAAAACAGACAATGAGGAGCGAACAAAACAAGAACAAAACAAATGTTTCTCATGCTGCCTGTACTGCAGCACCTCTTTTCACCCTCTGTCTGAAACCAGAGTCCAGTCTGCTCTGATTGGTTCGCTGACTGCCCCTGTTGTGATTGGACAACCACTTAGTAATGTGCCGCCCCTTAGTCTATCACGTACAATGTGTTGTAGCGTTAGCCAATAGTAGCGCAGGTGTTAGGTAGTGATATCATGTCACTATGCTACGGAAGTAAACAAAGAAGTTCTATGGAGGCGTTTCAGGCAGGGGGGTGTGAGAGAGAAACTCCCTCTGGAGGGAACTTTGGGATTTTAGCCTTTGCAGACCATTCACATGCACAAAAACCTATATAACCAGGGGTGCACATAACTGGTACGCAGGTACACATGCGCGGCAACAATCTGAAATGCGTACCGCCACTTGTGTCACAAAGCGCATTTGCGTACCGACGTACTTGTGAAGCTTTTCCAGAAGGCGGTTAGATCACCGGACGACAGAGTCGGTCTCCGTGTGCACAGACAGGGCTGCTGTTAACGTCGGTCTGTACAACGGAATTGTGCCAAAACTACGCCAACTGGCTGCGGAGGGAGACTCCCCCCCTTCACTGGAGAACTGCGCTAAAACAGCTGATCACAACGTTCACACTCTGTGGTCACGAAGTACTCAACTAGCCCCCCCTGTCGACTTTCCTGAAGTACTCCACTAGCACCAATATCCCCCCCCCCCGTCGACTTTCCTGAAGTACTCCACTAGCACCCCCCCCACCCCCCCCCCCCCCCCCCCTGTTGACGTTCGCGATACAGAGGGCTTCATCAAAAAACTTTGAGTGGAGACAGAAGTTGGAGTACCAAACTCATCTGAGTACCTCACTGAGAAAGTTATGTGCACCCCTGTATATAACACACTACAGGAAAGGGAAACCCCCAAAAAGTATATTAGGGCCCCTCACTCTCACAGCTTTATACCCAGTTATCTTTACATAGTCCCAGCAAGTAAAGAGATGTTTGACATTATCCAACAAACATCCAGTGTCTGGTTCATTAAAGCTGCTATACACAAATACACACGAACACACCCACACACAGTAGCCTCTGAGCCTCAGCAGTACATTACTATGACTGGCTCTCTGTTCCAATGGCCACAAGGTTTCCTGTTTGTAGGCCCACCAACACCATGAGTTCAAGGCCCCCACAAGACTGTTCCTTGTCTAAAGCACAATAACCCATTCACAGCAGGGGACGCAATTTCTCATTATTGCTCCATGACATGTGATGGAAACGAAGATTAAAGGCTGTATCTCAAACAGATGTCAAAGTGGACGTGGGGAAAAGAGAGTTATGTAATGTCTGGACGAGTCGTGAATCAAAGGGCACAAACATCTGTTGCTGGTTTAAGATCGTCCCTGCCTTCTGCCTGCAAACAATTAAAGTTAAAAACAAACAACATACTTTTAAATGGGTGTTGCAAGTTGTTTTTGAGGAAAAGAAGCTTTGTTCTACTTGGAATATAACTAAGAGCCCATTTCACAACAAGTGACAGCACAACCTGGACACTAAACTTTTCTGATAATATCACAGATAGGCTAAATGCTAACTAGAGCATGATAGTTTATATATTCAGGGTTAAAAGCCACCCATAGTAAGCAGTTTTAGACATATTCAAGATGAGTTGAACCATGTTTTGCAGTGTAAACAAAACTGTAAGCATTTATTTCAAAGTTTAATGTCTTAAAACTAACCGTGAGTAGCCCTCAGATCAGAACACTGTGTTTGTAATTCTTTGAGTTCAACAGATGATGTAGAATGTATTTATTTAATCATCTTCCCCCATCATGTTGCTGGATTTACATTGCGTATATAAGCGGTTACTAATCTGCAAAGTATCTCTATTAGTGGATATTTCGGTGTAAGTGCAGTCTGTGAAAGTGACAAATATCTACCATGTTTCATATTTGCAAGAAAGAAAACAGATGAACAACAGATTACCCCCCCCCCCCCACATCAAAACACATGCTTTAGGAGTATCATAGGATAAAAATAGCACGTTTCTGTCGAAAAGGCAAGGGAATTAGACCATAAAGCAGCTAGCAAGTCAGCTAAAACAACTTGTTATTGTTGGGAGAAATGCATCATATTCTTTGAACACATAAGCGTTTAACCAATGATTTTGTCACTAATCGTCCCTCCTCTTGTCTGCAGGTATGGTTCGGAGAGAAGTTCGATGCCCCGTTGCTGAACCCCAGGTGCCCTCGCAGCCCGTTGGCCCATCGACATGGCCCCGGCCTCACCGACGTCTTCCAGTACGACCAGTGGCTGGCGGTGCGGCACGAGGCCACCCTGGTGCCCATGCAGGAGGATCTGGCCATCTGGCTCAGCGGCATGCTGGGTAAGATCTGCCTCGAACAGATTCTGATGTTTATATTTGACTGTAGTGTAGTTACATGTGTCCAAACCTCCCGAGGCGTGGAAAACTCTGAAGCAGAATCGACACGGCTCACCATGTAATTGGATTTGGACGCTGCACAGAGTGGAACCAAATCCGGTTTCCACTGTTATTCAGGCACCTTTTGTCCCTTACGATACAATGGAGCAGAGAGGAAACTGAAACTAACTCTATTGTTGACTGCTGGTGAAACTGCTTTTTAGAAGTTGACCGTTTTTCTTGTGAGGAATGTTTCTAGGGGCTAAACACTAAACATGAGTTATCGTACCGTGACCGCGTTGACCTGAATCCCACATTTTTGAGTTTTTGACCGTTTGCTCGGATGAGTCCTGATGCTTGAGGGCCCGGATGCTGCAGGAACAGGTGGCGTGCAGCGGATAAAGTTTCGGGCCCCGAGGCGCGGCTCTTCTAGCGGGGAAATACACTTTTGTCAGGCGATCTATTGTCACTTAGTTCTCTGGCTATTCTGGATTTGGTTCCCAATGTGAGTTCAGCTCACAGGGCCTTTTGTGGATTTTATTGGGGCGGTGATTTACAATAAGGGGTCGTGGGAGAGTCAGTAGGGGAGTCACTAAGCTTTTTGTGAGTTTTAGAGTGAAAATATTTGTTGGTACTATTCCCTTTTTGAAGAAATCTTATTTCTTTCTTTTCTTTAAATGTGTATTTATATATGTAACCACAGTTTATATCTTTTCAGGGGGCTTTTCAGAACCCCCTCTGTCATTAGAGCCTTAGATAGATAGATAGATAGATAGATAGATAGATAGACACATACTTTATTGATCCCAATTTGGGAAATTCTTTCATCACAGAAGCAGAAGTGTGTTCAGACATTAAAATACAACACTTAAAATACTTTAAAAAGTGGAAAAGAAAATGAACAATTAAAAAGAAAATGAAAAATATTATATCAAATATAAACAAAACAATATAAAATATTCTGGATAGTTAAAATAAAAAGCAGCTGATAAGAAAAAACTATTTAAATATGAAATACCATCACACAATGTGCGGCCTTTTTGTAAATCTGAATTTTGGAAACTGCTAATAGAGAAAGGAAGTATTAACTCTAGGCTGTGATAAGTTTGGACTAAAAGTGTGGTTTAGATCCACAAAACGAGACAAATCTGATGAATCGTAATAATAATGTAATTCTTCTATTTTGTCTTGGGTGTGCAGGCGAGGAGGTGAGAGCAGAGTTCTTCATGGAGGAGCTGGATAACGGCGTGAAGCTCTGCCAGCTGATCGGCGCGCTGCAGGCCAAGATGGCGGTGAGCTGCCCCTCGGCGCTCGGCACGGTGAGTCAGCCAGCATCCATGGAGGGGGGGGGGGGGACATCTGAAGTCCAGTTAGCACGCTTGAACTTCCTGCTGTTGCAAATAAATGTTCCTCAGGGTGATCGTCATGCCAACTCGTCAATATTTTCCTTTGTTTATTTCTCCTGACAGGTGTTCCCTAAGAGGAAGATAGCATGTAAGAGGGACGCCTCTCCAGGTTCCTTCTTCGCTCGCGACAACACCGCTAACTTCCTGGCGTGGTGTCGCCAAGCCGGCGTGGAGGAGACATACCTGTTTGAGTCCGAAGGCCTCGGTAAGAAACCACCAAGAACTGGCATAACACTAGTCCTATAAAAACCATGGCCAAATGTTAAGTTCAGTCTAACATCAGCCACCGAAAACGTGAACCTGTGAGTAAATATGACCTTTGCTGTGATCACTTAACATTGTTGTTTTCTTTCCTGCTTATGTACATATCAATGTTGCGTGGTGCAAGAACCCACAGTTACTACTTTTTCGAATGTACGGACTTCACTAAGCAAACGATGGCTTTACATAATGCTAATTCTTTGGTAAAATTAAGTGAAATCTGCAGACACAAAAAGACAAAGTTATAATAGTTATAAACATTTTTTTTCTCAAGAGTCTGAAATAATACATCCAATTGAAGCAACCACTCAGAATTGACCAGTGCACGATGCTAAGATTATTTCCTCTTGAGTGTATTACGTTAAGAATTTCAAATATCGACCGAGATTGAGATAATAAAACCACCGACTGTCATGAAAATAATAATCAAACTCCACAAAGCGAATGTGGACCTCTCATAGTTAACATAGTAAAACAGATTAGACTGGTTGTAAGCTCCTGATAATACCCCTGTTGTTTAAGCCGTACTTCTTAATGATTTAATAGGATCTGTTGTGCAGAGCAATCGCCCTGAGTACTCCGTCCTGAGGATCACTTCATTAGTAGTGGCTCTTCCAAAAACTGTCTTGATGCGATTAAGAAAGAATACGTCTGCTGTGATTCCCTTACTCTTCCGTGTATATATGTTTAATGAATGTCCTCGTGTGACTTTAAAGTTCTGTTCTCTTCCGCACGAATCACCGCTGCAGCCCCTCTGGGAATATCTTTATTTTATGGTGTCACGTTTCCCGATGTAACACGTGAATTGAGTTTCGTTTTTCACCTTATCTAACTGTTCATTGTGTTTTCTGCCTCAGTGCTTCACAAGGAGCCCCGGCAGGTGTGTCTCTGTCTGCTGCAGATCGGACGCATCGTCTCCAAGTGAGTAGGAGGAGAAAGCGTCAAACCGTCAAAGATTGGCGATCACTTGGGATCCTAAACTGTGCCGTGTTTCTCAGGTACGGCGTGGAGCCTCCTGTGCTGGTGAAGCTGGAGAAGGAGATCGAGCTGGAGGAGACTCTGCTGATGACTGAGGAGCCGCCTCCGGCCGTCAAGACCTTCAGCGTCTGCTGCCAGCATGGTGGTCTCTACCAACCGGGGGTGAGTCCCGACCGACAGCTGATCCAAAACAGAAAACGTGCTCAAACGATAAATCTGTGTAGCTGATTGCATTAGCATCATATCAGGTGGTCCATGTGCGACCCAGTTGGAGCGCCCCGCGGGGTATGACGCATCGCAACGGAGCACGTGACGCTGTGACTCACACACTCCGTCTCTACCACTGTGCAGAGGCTGCGAAGAGGGGGGGAAAAGGGATACAATGATGTGTTTATTATATAATGGTAGATGGTTAACAGATACATATTTAGTTCTCATATGCACATTAATTGTCAACGACTAACAGAAGGATCATTAGTAATGTTTGGTGTTGTAAACCTCACCCGTTTTTCCGAAAGATTTGAACTTGACTTCAGATTCAGATTTTTTTTATATTTCCATTTGCAGTTTTTGAGGTCGGATCATCTTAAACCCATTCCTTGTAATTAAAATATTGCGACGATAATTACTAGGAAGAAGTACGAATATTTCTTCATGATCTCTTCTGGTGTTGTCACCCAAAAATGTAAAGTTCTCCCAGGAAGCCACTTATAATTCTACATGATACAGATATAATGTAGGCAAGTTACATTTCAAAATATTTATTTGGACCCTGTGTTCGGCTGGTTTATTCCCGTCCAGTTGGGTAAACAAGGTCAACATTATCCGAGTTTTATTCCCTGAGGACAGCTGGGCTAAAAATAACCACAGTCACTGAAGCGCAAGGTAGTTTAGATCAAAGTAAATTTGCTTCCAAACGCTTGTTTCCTTTACACATCAAATTACCGATTTGTAAGATGGAAGCATGTGCTGTTATTTATTTAATTATATCCTTAACTCCGGTGTGTCTGCTTCACCTCGCCTGTACCTCATGACCTCACAGCTACTCCTTATATGAAAGGCTTTTCTTCAGCTGTAACTGTTGGATTAAATATTTATTCTAATATTACCGTTTTATGACCCTCTTTTAGGAGCACGGCATGGACGAGCCTTCCTGCAACTGTTCCAACAGAGTGTCCATCGAGTATCTGTCCGAGGGCCGCTACAGGCTGGGAGACAAAACCCTCTTCATACGGGTCAGTGTTATGCTCACACACACAGACACACACACCACACACACGTTATGTCTGGTTCATCAAACCACATGTATCTTACTCGATTTCCTTCCACAGATGCTTCATGGGAAACATGTGATGGTGCGTGTGGGGGGGGGCTGGGACACGCTGCGGGGCTTCCTAATGAAGTACGACCCCCTGCGCACGCTGCAGTTCACCACCCTGGAGCAGAAGATCCTGGCCTATCAGAAAGGCCCCCCCGGCCTGGGAGGACACCACAGCCACGCAGCTCCACCCCCCCCTCCTGACATGGACCCCCTCGCCGCTGTCAACAACCTCATCTCCTCGTCCTCCTCCTCTTCTTCCTCCTCCTCTTCCTCCTCCTCAGCCTGTAAGCCGGGCCCCGCTGCGACTCCGTCGTGTCGCTCCTACACCCCCTCCCCCGCCTGCACCCCCACTCTGCCCAGGAGAGGTGCCGCCGCAGCGCCCAAGAAGACCCTGCAGGTGGCCTCTTCCTTCCCCAGGAAGCCCACCCAGTTAGCACTGAGCGGCCCCCCCAAAGCTTCCTCCTCTCTGCCCTCCACGCCGTCCCTCGGCCCGGGCAGTCAGGGGGCCCTGTTCCATCGCAGACCCCTGACTCCATCCACGGCCCCTGCAGAGCCACGGCCCGCCCCCAAGCTGAAGATCAGACCTTCACCACGGAGCACCCCCTCCCAGCCCAGAAGCCCCGTCTGCCCCGAGCCGTCTTCCAAATGTCCCAAACCCTCCAGCCCCATCGCTGCATGTGCTCCTGGCTCCGTCACGGCACCAGTGCGGGCCCCCACCCCAAAAGATGCCCGGCCCCCATCGGGCTCCAGCCAGCGCTCTCGCCTTGCTCAGCGGCGTCCCGGATCCCCCGCCTCGCGCCTCCGACTAGAGGCCGCCAGGAGGGTGCGGATCGCCGCAAGAAATGAAACGACAGCATCTCCCCAATCCCGGACCCCCCCACTCAGCTCACAGACCACCAATACTGGCTCCCGGACCCCCAATCATGGCTCCCAGACCCCTACCCTGAGCTCACAGACCAGCAATACTGGCTCCCGGACCCCCAATCATGGGTCCCAGACCTCCACCCTGAGCTCACAGACTCCCAATACTGGTTCCCGGACCCCCATCCTCAGCTCAAAGGCCCCCGGCTCCCGCGCACCCAACCTCTGCTCACTGACAGCATCTCCAGTGCTGCCGAAGCCCACCCCCTCCCTGCTGCAGAGCAAAGACGTCACAGCCAAAGCCAAGGGGCCGGCCCCCACAAAGGTGGCTGCTGCCCCCCCACGCAGCACTGCTGCTGTCCCCGGGCGGGTCCCTCCTCCTCCTACGGCAGGTAAAGCCAATCAGAAAGCAGCAGCCACAGCACCGAGGGTGGGACGCAAGCAAGCGGCCCCACCCAGCGGGAAGTCAGCAGTAAAACCTGACGCTACTGCCCCCCAGAAAAGCAGCGCCAACATAAAAGCTGTGAGGGCCGAGCCAGGTGTCTGCAGGAAGGCCCCCCCACACAAGGGGAAGGGGGAGGAGCCGTACTTTGAGATGATCAGCAGGAGGAGGCCGAGGACGTGAGGACTGAGAGACAATAAGCAATTAATTTTATGTCTTCAGATTTATTTTTGTTTGTTATTTAATAGCGTTTTATTTTGTATGTTTTAATCCAAAAGGTGTCGTGCTCTCTACGTCTTTGTGGTGATTTTAATGGTCTTTTTTTTTTTTTAAAAGGTCAGCTAACCTGCTTAACATGAAAACTTGCACAACGTTTACATTTTCACTTTCGTTACAAATGATTTGTGTTTTCTGACTTTTAACAGAACAAAGGGTAGGAAACGCATAATCAACACTAACCTCAAAGCTTTATCATCCCAACGCACCAGCCCAGGATACAGCCATGGTTACGGAAAAGGCACTTTTATGAACTTTTGCAGGATGGCAAAGAATCCTGCTTTTACCAAAGTTGTGTACTTCCTGGAGTTCAGCGACACAACTGGAACACAAATCATGTGTGTGATGAGCTTCCCTCCCCAGTGAGAACAACCTTTCCACTGGCGGATAGTCAGACAGTGAAGTTTGGTATGTTTGAATAATGATATCTTCCTGTTGTGTGCCTTCAACAGAAATCTCTAGTTTCTGAGCGGCATTAGAATGTATTAGATGATCGGGGGGGGTTTAATGGTTTTTACTGATAAAAATTGCACAGTGTACGAGCACTCATGACTTTGGTTTCCCAGAGTGAACTACTGATCAAATGCCTCCTTTTCTTTTTAACAGAAAAATGCTCTAAAACTCTTAGAGCTAAACCTACGTTTTTATATGGTTTCTAATGTTTGTGTGTATTACAAATCTAGTTTTCTATGTGGTGTATGTGTGTGTGTGTGTGTGTGTATATATATTATCAGTTTGGCACTTTACAGAAACCGCCGTGTTTGTCAGTTTGAATGTTGAGTCTTTGATTGTGTCTCTTGTCCCAGCTACCTTTTTGTCATTTTGAACAATAAATGGACAAATGTTTTAAAGATTAACTTGGCTTACTCTGTTATTCAACCTGTTAGGCTGTAACAGGTTGTTGCTTCAGTCATTTTTTCAGGATTTGTTTCCACTCTAAAGCCGTAAAATGTACTTAGCCTGAATACCAAACTAAGTCCTGCAGGTATTCAGACTGTGTGGAAAAACCACAAAAGAACAGGTGCTTAGTAACATGCGGAGGATTTGAGGTGAAATACAAATGACTGTATAAAACGCTTAATAAGAATTGATAGCCTTTAAGGTTGGTAATGTGATAATTAGTTACCAAACCCAACTTATTTTGATAAGTAAATGTATCTTGAAGACATATCAACGTATTTTGGACACAAACATCCCTCAATAATGTATTATATGTGTAATCGTAAGCAGAAGTATCCTTGTGCTCTCCTAAATAACATTACACTTTTAGAGATGGCTTCAATTCTAAAAGCAAATCTATCTGGGACATTTTTTCAAAACATATTGGAAGCTATCTGAATTAAATAAAATGTTTATCCTGCATTTTAGATGCTGAATATGTTAGAGAAAAACGACTTGAAAAGCTGTTTTAATGAGTTATTCTGAGCTAAATCATTGTAAGTATCTGACAGAATGAGCATCACGTCTGCAGGTCCTTCAATGAGGGGAAGTAATCTGCTGCCCCCTGCTGGTGCTGAAGAAGCACTGCCACTAGCACTACACAGGGCTGCGTTGGATTAAAAAGACATGAAGGGGGGAATTACTCTTAAAGTGTAAACACACGAGTGAGTCCAATTCAGTTTTTAAACATAATGATACATTTAAATGACAGTGGGTGTTTCTCAATCGCGAGTAAAGCTGCTTCAGAGCCACTATTTCAAGCATACTACGTCATCGAGTGCCGCCGAAGTACTGTTCTGTTCCAATCTCCAGTATACTTGGAAATCTACCGAGCCCGGCGTACTCCGTTTGGAGAAATATCGAGTGTGCACATGAGTAGACTTCGCGGTCTTAAAATCCCCACAATGCTTTGCGCACGGACCAATTTCCCCAAATCTGTGGCGGAAGATGTAAGGCGGGGCCTCTCATATGACGCACACCTGCACACTTGCTAGCGTGTTCCACACTTCGTTTTCCGATTGCCAGGAAGTATTCTTGACTCGCTTCTGAAGCAAGATGCTCGGCAGACATGTGCGCGTACTCGCGATTGAGAAACACCCAGTGTTTCTTAAAAGTCGAACATGGATAGAGCAGTGGAGGAGTGTCTACACTAGCCTAGGGCACTCATGTTAGCGCCACAAAAGAGCTGATTAGCTTACATGCTATCAGCTGTGACTGTTGAACATTCGAGAAAGACTTTCACTGAAGTGACACAGGAGGACAAACACAGGTGTAAATAATTAAATTAATTATGGCTAAAATCTATTTAGCTAATTTGCTTCAGGAGCTGTGCTTTTTTTTTCCTGCTACACAAAGTCAACAACGTTTTCTTGCTATTCACATTATAGCAGCACCAAGATCAAATTCATTTGACCGGGAGGCATTTATTAAATATCAAAACATGTTAAATTACAAATTCCTATTGAGCTTTTTTCGTAAACATGTGTGCTTATTGCTTTGGATTTTGTTTAAAAATAGTCACGAAACCAAATACAATCTTAATCTAAGGCTTAAAGACCAAGTGGAAGGTTTCACTTCTCTTCAGTGCATTCAGGTCTGAAAGCTGGTGATTTAAAAGCATTCACAGACAAACAGATATCCAGCCAGTAGCCTACTGTTACAGGTTGAACAAAAAGAAAAACAGTAAAATACAGTGTACAAATTCCAAAAAAAGACTGGCAGGCCTGCAAAATCTGCCCGTTTAAACCGTTTAAACACACATGAGAAAAAGGCTACAACATTCAGCATGGGAAAAAACGTTTGTCAGCTTTTTTTCTTGTTGCTTCTGTATGACCCCATCAATAAATATAATACTTTTCTTTTTAAATCAACCACAGTATTCTTAATTAAAGGCCTGAGAGTGTATTTTAAAATCCAAACGACAACAACATGAAGTTCTTTTAAATGCGACAAAATATACAAATGCAAAATTGAGCAGAAAACTGTCTTGAGATAAAATGCCTCGCTTTGTTAGTAGTTTGTGACTTTAGTGCAAGAAGCAGCAGACACCATGGAGCATGGACAGCTACAGACAATCAGCTAGAATTCTTTAGTTCTTCTTTAACAGTTTCAGTGATTGTTAAAATGTCATTTAAGTGTTAAATAAAAATGGTCACAGTCTCTAGATTTTAAAAATGAAACCTGAAGAGTGTCAGTGGTAGAATCCCTCTTGGTGTCAGTCTTCTTTCTGATCTGGGACAATACTCCTCCAGATTAACCAGGATGTAAAAAATGCATCCCAGGAAATGTGTGTGTTTGGGGGATCACAGGAGCAGAGGTGTGTGTTCTCCCGCCGACTCCATCCTCTTGGTGAGCTGCCGCACCCGGGCCAGGAGGCGGTTGGGCAGGGGGGGGCAGTGGTGGCTCGGGTCCAGGACGTTGGTCTTGCGGCGCTCGCGTTCCTGCAGCCACATGAGGTACGGGCTGGGGGGGAAGAAGGGGCGGGAGCGCTCTCGGTACAGCTGCAGGACCATGCCCGAGACGCCCAGCACCACCCACACCGTGATCATGATGTAGTCTGAGGGAAGGAAAAGAACAGACGGTTTTAAAGACAGAACACAGTTGAGTCTAAATACGTGACTGACACTTTTACTGAGAACTCGCCGATGGCTTGGAAGGGTACGTCGGTGAAGACGGCGCTGAAGTTGTGGTTGAGGAAACGTTTGAGGATGTTCAGGCTGATGTAGGACAGGCTGGTGTAGATGTAGGCGTTGACGGCCAGAACTACAGCGTACGCCCCGACCACACCACACGTGATGATGTTACCCTAGCAACAGAAAGAGAAGGAGGTATTGAGTTATTTGATACAACACAACAAAAATCTGAAATGTCAACATCTTAAACTTTTTTTTATAGCTCTCTGTTCATGTCTGTCATTTTTATTTTTCACAGTGAATTGAAACACAAAACATAGAACTAATGACATGAATAATAAATCTGTTTCCTGGTATTTCTTTGTTTTTAAATTCTATCTAATTTCAATATAATTGTCTTTTTTATTCCCACTAAAGTTTGAGTATCATTATACGATTATTATATTTTCTTACTTTACCCAACACCAAGTAATTCTTAGAACTACCACTAGTAGATGCCGGAGTAAAGACATGCTGTAGTGACTGTAGTGCTGTGTCACCTCTCTGGGCCAACGCACGAAAAAGAGCGGGACGATGAGCATGATGCAGCAGAACGTCACCCAGAAAACTGCGTCCGAGCGCCTGAACACATCCAGGTCACCTGAGAAAAAACACACAAATACACTAAATATATTTTATATTTAAACTTTATGTCAGTGATTAGGAACTTTAAGGTACTTTAAGGATGTGAAAGGCATCATTTTAAAAGACAAACACCAACAAATATGGATTAAAGGATTACATTTAGTCTTTTTTTTTTTAAATGCTGTCTTATTAAATAAGAGTTACATATATTTGGATATTGTGTGTGGGGGTGTATGTGCATTAGAGTCACTGAAACTATAACAAAAGTTGCTTGTCATGTTTCGGGAGCATCTGACCCACCGAGGGGAGTGAAGAGGACGGTGGAGGCGATGAGGAAGCCGAGCATCAGTCCCACCACCACGATGCAGGCCATGACTGAACCGAAACGCCACCAGCTCATCACCAGCATGACCCCCCCCACCACGCCGATCACCGCTGACACGGCGAGACACACTGCGCACAGAGGACGTTCACATTTTTCACATTTCATCGCAGGAAGAGATTGGAATTGATCGAAGTGGAGAAAGAAACTCACTGTCGTACTCCAGTCCTGTCGTCCTCGTGACCAGCACAAAGAAGAAGAATGTCGCAAAGCTGAATCCCATGCAAAACAACTCTGCATGACAGGAAGCAAAAAAGGAGAGTGATTAAATACAGACTGAAGAAGCAGTACAGACATGATGTTTATTCACAAGGTGCTGCTGGGTCATATCCCATCACTCTGTCTCCTCCAGTTCTACAGCCGGCAGCAGAGCCAGGTCACGGTTCAGTTTGGAACAAATACGTTTCTGTATCACATGAGAGGCCGGCCAGTCCAGATTCGCTTTTTTATTCTAATACAACGCCATGACAGGAGACCAGAGGAAACACCTTCATTAGTGTCAGCACTACCAGTCGTTTTTACGTCCCTACGAGGAAGTTTGCAAACATGACCTCTGACCCCGCTAATCTATTCTGTTGACCCTAAAGTGGACTGAAAAAGACGGAAATAGGAGGGAAATAAATATTTTACTTTAGAGAAAGCGTTTTTCCAGGCTTAATAATGACGTGATAAATGAGGTGGAAACCTTCATTTACACATTCCTCCATGTTTTGTTAGATGACAAAGATACTACACAAACAAAGTATATATTCACTTTGCGTTAGTAAGAGGGGAAATTGTTGTCTCCTGGAATATTAATGCTGTACTTTAAAATATAATATGTATATTGGGATTACACAGAAACTAATCGCATTAAGGGATGTCAAACTACTCACCACATTTGAAGAACCGATGCCCAAAGAAGCAGACGAACAGGCCGGCCATACCAGCAATAGTGAAGAACATCTTTGTGGAAATCTTCCCTAAAAATGTATTAAATGTTCAATGTTACATTTTCATTTGTCAATAACAGCATTCTTTCTGATTAGTTAAGCAAAATGTTATTCAGACTAAGGATCCCATGACTAAAAATTACAGAAAATAAACGTATGCAGTTCGTGTATCACAAGATTATTTCCTTTTAAAAGTTGTTTTATGAATCGATTGACCTGATTTTAAGATTTTCCTAATATCAAGAGACAGGCTGAAAACTAATTTCCAATGTTTCATGCATAGTGTTATTTAAACTGACGGATCCCATGATTAAAAAATACGGAAAATAAAATTGATGGATCACAAG